TTACATTATGGAAAATAATGACCTTTATCACAATATGCTAATTTTTTGAGAAGGACCTGTATGCATGCTAAGTTAGAAAGTAGTAGAGCAATGAATTAGGTGGACAAATATACACATGAAAACACAAGTACATATATGTTTATTTCAAATATTGATAGAAGCATATTTTATTAAAAGATGAGCAAGTTATATTTTTCTGATAATTTTTTCCTTTCTCAGTTTAATTTTATTTTGATTAGGTAAAATATTTTAAACTTTGATTAAAAATATCACGCTAACTTCAGAATTATTTCTATAACAGTTTTTATTTTGAAAAACTTGGACGACTTGAATTCTCGTGACTTTGGTAATGCCTAAAATTTTGTTTGCACTTTACTTTGTACTGGGTTGCAACTGGGTACTAGACTTTTTAACAAACAGACCACAGTTAGTGAGGATCCACAACCTCTCCTCCTCCACCATAACCCTCAGCACTGGCTCTCCTCAGGGATGTGTGTTGAGCCCCCTTCTGTTTACTCTGCTCACATATGATTGTGCGGCTACCCATCCAGGCTGTCACATTGTAAAGTTTGCAGATGATACAGCGGTGGTGGGATGCATCACAAACAATGATGAGTCCAGCTACAGGCAAGAGGTGGAACACCTGGAGAGCTGGTGCAGAGAGAATAACCTTCACATCAATGTGAAGAAGACAAAGGAGATGATTGTGGACTTCAGAAGGAACAAAAACACCTACACCCCCCTGAACATAAGAGGATCTGCGGTGGAAGTGGTCTCCAGCTACAAGTACTTGGGTGTACACATGAATGACAACCTCAGCTGGAGCAACAACACCACCAGCCTGATCAAGAAAGCTCATCAGAGACTCTACTTCCTCAGACGGCTGAGACGAGCTGGTCTGGGAAGCTCAGTCCTCACCTCCTTCTACAGGTGTGCAGTGGAGAGCATCCTGTGCTCCAGCATCAACGTGTGGCATGGAGGCTGCACAGCTGCAGAAAGAAAAGCTTTGCAGAGAGTGGTGAAGGCTGCACAGAAATCTGTTGGAATCAGTCTCCCCACCATCACAGACATCTACACCTCCAGATGCAGGAAGAGGGCCACCTGCATCATGAAGGACCCCACTCACCCAGCACACACACTTTTTGCCCCACTCCCCTCAGGAAGGAGGTTAAGGAGCATTAAGTGTAGAACCACTAGACTGAGGAACAGCTTCTACCCTGAGGCTGTTAGACTCATGAATCTCTAACTAGAATAATCACTGTGAAAAAACATATCATGTTGCTGCTGATCTGTTTCATGTTGCTGCTGATCTGTTTCAATGTTGATGTGTTCATGCGTGCACATCTGCTCACAGACTCATGTTCATGTTTGTGCTGATGTTCAATGTTTTATGTTATGAGTGCTTAGTGTATATTTAGTTGATGTTTTTCTTAGTTCATATCTTAGATGTTATTACTGTTTTTCTTAGACATTTTATTGTTGGATGTAACTGGGACCCCGTGTACATAATTTCGCTCCACCACATGTACCACATGAGGTGCGAATGACAATAAAGAAACTCTGACTCTGACTCTGACTCTGACTGACTTTAGAAACTTGTTTTTTACTACAAATTATCACGCTTCTATTTCTATTAAGAAAAAAGTATTCTTCTGAAAGTACTTAGAAAGAAACAAAATCTCACATTTTGTTTCCTCGATTACTGTGTGCTCCATTTCTCACCTTTTTGTTGTCCAAAAGGCAAAAGTGTGTAATGCTGGTCAGGCCTTCGAGCAGAGTCAACGGATAATCAGGAGCAATATTCTCCCTCCTGCCAATCAAACTGATGAAAAATAAAAATTAAACAATAAAATCTTGTATTTAAAAAGCAACAATTTTCATGAGTCTTTCATGAAAGAAATTAAAACATACACAATAAAATCTTGTGTACTCACCTCTGGTTTGCTTTCCCTCCATCGTGCTCGTGTAGCTTCACCAGCTCATCCAGGTTTCTGCAGATCTGATTGATTAGAGGAGCCACAATTATCCCTAACGAGCGTCCCAGGTAGGGCAGGGAGGAGCACAGCAGCGACACCCAGTGGGGGTGCATGGCATACCCATACTGAGGCTGCAGAGCTCTGGCTGCAGCAGAAACAAACATGCCCTGGGCTGTGATGGGGTGACTCTGCACGTACTGAGCTGCTTTGATGGACTGCTGGAAAAGAACAGCAGTTTGCCACTCGCGAGCAAGAGGGGAGGTTGCAGGTGAGGATTCTCGTGAATCTCCAGGCTGGCCAGATGCTCCGCTTGCTCCAGTGACAACCCCACCAGGCCACACGTGGAATTCAAGCACTATGAGAGCCTGGAGCAATTTTAGTAATTCTATTTGTAAGGGGTACTGCTCCTGTCCCCCAGCTACACCCAAATAAATCAGACTCTCCTCCGATAGGCCTCCTTGCTCTTCAAGCGACTCAACTCCTTTGGACGATCCCTTCTCTGCTCCCCTTTGGCTGATATACATAGATCTAGAGAGAGAAAGCAGAGCACTGTGCTGCACTTTACAGCTTGAGAGGAGTCTGTGCATGGACTCCAGCTTGGCTTTGCTGCCTTCCTGTCTTTGTGCTGTGCAGCAGAGCTGATTCACTATTCGAGTCAGCACCGCCACACTCTTCACCTGCACCTCCCTGTTCCCCTGCAGGTCCACAGGAGTCAGGCTCAGATAAGAAGGGTAGTGAGAGCGCAGAAACCGGAGGCAGAGAGACACCAGCAGTTCAATGAGTAGGGATGGGGGCACAGATGGAGGGGATGTGGGAGAGAGCAGGCAGCCATAGAATCCCTTGCCATTCTGAGCCTGCTGGTGGCGCTGTAGAAGATTTGAGATTAGATTTAAATGTGCAGCGGAGCTCGTGTCCAGTGAAGTGGAGCACAGTGCATCCACCAGAGGACACTCAGCACTGCTCCTCAGCAGGCTGTCCAGCAGCGCCAAGCCTTGGAGGAGATGGCGCCATCCTCCCGCTACCGGATACAGCAGCACATGGCAGAACAGAGAGTCGATGGCATCTCTCTTCTCACGTTCCTGCCTCAAGAGACGTGACTTGGCCATAGCCTCGAGCTCCAAATCTTCCTCTTCTTCGCTCGACAGCGATTCAGATGCTTGGGTGTGCTCAGACTCTACCCTCCGCAGGCCGTTCACCAGCCCTCCCTCCTCTACACTGCTGGGTAGAGCAGAGCCTGAACTGGAGTTCTCGGTGGAAACTTGGGCACCACTGGTGTCAGCCGACTCTGTGTGTTCACTCTCAGGCTCCTCCTCCTCTTCCGCTCGAGACTCCTCTTCATCCATCTTCTCACTCTCGCTCCTTGACATCACTACAGTGTCTGTTGGTTTTGCCAGTTCTGGCCCACTGTCCAGCTCGGCCCACAGAGCTTCTCGGTCCACAACATTCAGGATATTTAAAGTGGTGACATCAGCTGTGGCATTGTCGGAGGACATCCGAGAAGTTTTGGTTGAACTTCGACTTCTGTTGTTTAAATCCTTCAGGTTAACTTTAAAACAATTATGCCAAGTTAACAAAATGCACACAATAAAAAGCAGACAATAATTAATTAAACACAAGCAACACATGCTGGTGAATGAACTTACCAGTGGTGAGGTTTTGTTTGATGCTCTGAATGGAGCAGCGCTGAGTGGAGGGATGGAGCAGCAGCAACAGAATTGGCTCTAGGATTCGAATGACATCATTGAGAGACAAAGCTCTAACCAACCAGCAGTGAGCTGCTGCGCTTATCGAGCCATCAGTGGAGCTCAGGCTGTCCACCACAACGCACAGAGATCTGAGACAGACAAAGGTTCAGAACCAAAACGTAGTAAATACAGAAATAACATCTTAAAAATACTAAAGATGTTTTTATTTGAACATTTCTGAGTGTATTTATTCTTTATTTTATCTACATGTTGAAAAAGTAGAGTCAGTAATGCAAAATTTATCTTCATGACTACAAAAGAAACTTACAGTAATTTTAAAAACCTAAAATGTTTATTTATATGTGAGCTACAAAATATATTAAAGCAAATCTTAGAATATCCTGATGCATGCTCAATAATCCAGGTAGAAAAATCCAAAAAAGTTCAATCTGGTCCTCTGGACATTCAAAAAAACAAAAGCAAAACAAAGCAAAAGAAATCTAGAAACGTTTCGTCTCTCATCCAAGAGACTTCCTCAGTCTGAGGTGCTGTTTTCAGCTCAGTCTCTTAAATAGCACCTTCTTAGAGTGGATCAACCAGTTTGCTGCTGACAACCAAAACCAGCTGATCACATGCTCAAGAAGGACCATCAGCCTAACAATGGATCATTAGCACACTGATGGCTGCTTACTACTCACAGAGGGCTGAGTGATACTAGCAATCACAGCATTGTAAGAGGGGGACAGTTGAACCCGGAGGCCTCCACCCCTGTTTAATGATGGACGATTTCTTTTCACAAAGATGGCCTCCTTTACTCCTCTTTCAAACCATCGTTCCTCTCTGTCCAGGATGTGAACAGGATGTGTTTTTTTGAATGTCCAGAGGACCAGATTGAACTTTTTTTGGACAAATCTTAGAATATGTTCAATTTTACTAATAAGTTCTCACCCATGAGTTCTTGCCAAGTAGGAGAAAAATTGGGAAAAACTTATAGGAATGTTTTTCTATTTTATAGACTGTGCTTTTTTGTGTGTGATCTATAGTATGATTCATATTCATTCAACAGTCTTCTTTCGGCTTTTACCTCTTCAGGGTCTCTACAGCAAGTCTTCCTCCTCCATCTCACTCTGTCCTCTGCATTCTCTGTCCTTACTCCAACTACCTCCGTGTCCTCTCTAACTGCATCCATCTATCTTCTCTTTGTTTTTTTCCTGGCAGCTGCATTTCTAACATCCTTCTACCAATATACCCATTATCCCTCCTCTGGACATTTAACAGTATAAGCCATTTATGTGAGCAGTCATGACAGTAACATGTTACTGTAACTTAAGTACCGTATTTGTATAAGGCAGTGGTTTCCAACACTGGTCCCTGAGGAACACCGTTCTGCATGTTTTAGTTTTTTCTCTGCTCCAACACATCTGATTCAGTGGTTTACTTATTTAAGTTCAGCAGAAGCCTGTTAATTACCCTTTCATTCACATCAGGTGTGTTGGAGCAGAGGAACAACTAAAACATGCAGGACGGTGTTCCTCAGGGACTAGTGTTGGGAACCACTGGTATAAGGTGTTCCTATTTTGCCCTTATGCAACACAAATTTTCAGAGAATACCAAAAGCATGTCAAGCAGGTTTCAAAACCTTTTATAAATTGAAATAGCTTTCAATCAATCAATCACCTTTATTTTACCAGGTAGAGCCCGTTGAGATCAAGATCTCTTTCACAAGGGTGACCTGGTCAAGTGGTCATCAGCACACGTCACAGGGTAATTGACAATAAGCATTTACATTTATCAAAAGAAAAAAGAAACTACTATCACGATAAATAAATGTTAACAGTTTGAAACCATCAGGATAAGACAGACTTCTGTAGGCATTAAATGTAGAACAGACATCAGTTGAAGTAGATAGAGTTAAAAGTCAACAAAGACATGTATATTTGATAAGTAGTGTTTTAGAAACATCTGCAATGGTCCAGATTTTTGATAACATTATCTGATACGGTTGACATGAAGGATCTAGGCGAGATGAGTCTTGATAGTTTCAAATCTGTCTGTAAGTTGTTCCAGGCTGAGGGGACGGCAAAGCTGAATGCTCTTTTTCCTAGTTCAGTTCTGACCAGAGGAACTGACAGGAGGATTAAGTCATTAGGTGACTGCTGACTGCTTTAAAATGTGTGCATGACTTCAAAATTGTACATAAACACTACATTTATATTAAAGGGCATAAACTTCATAAAACAACTGTTTACAAACAACAAATTACAAAACAAAAGGCATTTTATAAAATACTGCCCTGAACTTGTACTGACCGATCAAAGGAGCGACATAGAGACATGGTCCTGTTGCTCTGGATTTCCCGGGTCAGGTGCCACAGCACTGTGAAGCGGTGCAGCGCTTCCAGCCTTACTGCCTGAATATAAAACACACAAACATTTGGCCTATTTGCTCATCGTCTCAGGTTACCTACATTATTACCTCTGTTTGTCTTTGTCCAAGTAACACATTCTGAAGAAAATGGAAAATATTGAACTCAGCGTGTCAGTTGAGTAAATTTATGAGTTTAAAAACCTTGTCATTGTGCAACAACGCCTGGCAGATGATGTCTTCACAGATGGATGCTGATGGAGCCAAACAGTGCAGCCTGTAAAACAGATCCACACAGGAAACGTGCTGCTCCCTCTGCTCCGTGTCCAGCTGACTCCACAGTACCTTGGACACTCTCTGGATCACAGCACAAACAAACATCCTAAATACTGTATTACATACATCAGGTTTAGTTCTACACAAACAGGTTCCCCTTTAATAATCTGACCTGATAAAAATCTGTGCGGTCCTCGATGGCGCTGAGCAGAGCTGGGTTGATGGGTGGCACGGTAGCCATCTGCAGCCGCCCACTCAGAGGGTTTGACTCAGAGCTCTGATATCGTCTGTGCTTGTCCTGAATGACCAGCGCTAAGGACAGGGAGTGGTTAATGAGCTCCAACAGGGAAGCTAACGCAGTGTGTTGGATGTTGTGGTCCCTGGACATGCAGCACAGAATCATCAAGGACCTGAGCCACACAGGTAAGCTGGCCACATCATTGCCTGAGGTAAACAAAAACAAGTCTGATCAGTCTTTGTAGCATGTAACATTATACTATACTCATTAGTCCACTAACCTCTGCTACCAAACATATCTGTGTGCAGAGCAAGCATCTCCTCTTCACTGAGGTAAACAGGGAAGGTGGTGCTCTCCAGCAGTAGGTGGCAGGTGGCGACGAAGGCCTGTCGACAAGCCTCAGAGATCTCAGCCCTCCCCCGGGGCATGTAACCAGCTGTCCAGTCCAAGCACCTTACAAGTAAAAGATCCTTCTTCTTTTCAGTGGGGGACGCTGGGAACTGAGCTTCAGGGGAGGCATGGGTTTTACGTTTATTTGGTGTAAACAGTTCAGTCAGTTTGTCTTTAATTTCACGTCCACCTAACAAAGATTTTCCTTCCACAGAGGTAGGACTTGTGTCATGTTGGGGTTCTGGATCTGGTCCCCTGACATCTTCCACCTGCACCATCAAGTATCTGAAACAGAAAAATAAAATTTTAGAAAATGCTATTGAAAAGCTGCTATGCATTATCCACCTTCACCTTCCTCCCAGGTCTACCTTGTGGTTATGAAGGCGAGGATGTTCTGCAGACACTGTGCCATGGTGTCCACACCACCTCCCTTTCTCCACACTCCCTCACTGGTTTTGTTTATCCCATTTTGCTCATCTCCTATTGTCACTCCCAGGGAGAGATGCTGCTCCGATGGTGAGGCACTGATGCCCAATCCACTGTCTTCAGACTTCAGAGCTGGGTAAACACCATTTGCAGGCTCGTCTTCCTCTCCTCCATCTTGCCTCTCCTGGTCATCTTCCTGATGACCATTAACACTGCCATTTTTCTCTCCTTCATTCTCTAAATCCTAGAGAAAGTAGAAATGACATGATGAGTAGGGCTTTAACAGACTACTTGAGTAATCTACACATCGATTCCTAGGACACCTATCGAGGTTTTTAATTTCATGTCGAGTATTCGTGGTGACGTCATTACGCCACTGTTACATTATCGCGTCACGTGTCACGTGATCCGCACTGGGCGTGGGTTACAAAATGGATTCCTCCAAGCAGACGGATGGAGCAGAGCAGGCCCAGTCTTGACAAACAGGTAGAAATGCATCGTCTGGAAATATTTCACTAAAGATGAATCATCTGGTTCAACTACCATAAGGAAACAGAAAATGAATCAACTTCCTGACTGTTTGGAGCGCGTTGCCAACTGGTGTTACACCATATTTTGTGACCGTAGGGGGCAGTGTTGCATGCACTGTTGCAGGTCACAGAATATGGTGTAACACCGGGGTCCAATCGACCGAACCAGAACCAGCTTCCTCTGACCTTGTTTCACAAACAAAAAGCAAAAAATATTAATCTCTAAACCTATAATAAAATCTATAAACATATTAATCTCTAAAACTAAACTTAATGCGCACCACAGCTGGCGGTGGTGTGGGGTGGTCGACCGCCCCACTGTTTTTAGCTTCGGTTTTGACGTGCTGCATGTTTCTTCACGTTTGCAGCTTAATAATAAAAACTAATAGTTTAGTTTTTCCTGTGACTTATTTGCTGTATGATAAATGGTAGGAGCGTAATATATGCTCCCAATTTTTTGTTGGTCTTTTTTTTGTAAATAATGACCTTTTTTACGGTTTTATTTATTTATTTATTTTTGTATCTTTAGATCCTATGATGTCATGAAGTACTCGAGTTCTACTCGAGTTTTATTATGTTAATGTCGAGTTTAAAAATTATGTAGTCGTTCAACCCCTAATGATGAGATACACAACATTTTCTTAAAAAAAAAAAAAAAAAATCCACTACAGTGGCACTGATGGGAAACAGAAAACTCACCTGTGTTTTTGTGGTCTCCTCCTCAGGAGTCTGTAACTCCATCTTTTCTGTGTGCGCCCCAGCTTCAACTTCCATGTAAGCCACAGGCATCTGGATTTTACTCAGGACCTTGAAGCAGGCGCGCAGCCCCTGTGTGACATCTTCAATACAAACAGAATCCATGTGGCGACACAGTGCCTGCAGCATGGTGTCAAGCATATCGGGCAGGAAATGTGACTGGATGTCAGCGTAAAGCTCCTGTTAAAAACACAAAGAAGATACCGTTTGAAAAAAAGGGTTTCTATAAGGGTGATATAGACTTGGATATAATTATTTGCATTTCAAACTTCCTAAAAACCATCAGTTTTTCTTCAATTTTATTTTATTGTTATTTTTATTTATTAATGTTTATTTAACCAGGAAAATCCCAATGAGATCAGAGATCTGTTTTGCAAGGGAGGCCTGAAGGCAGACTAACATGCATGTTTTGGACTGTGGGAGGAAACTGGAGTACTCGGAGAAAACCCACGCCAAGACAAGGAGAACATGCAAACTCCATACAGAAAGACCCCAGGCCCAACCCAGGGACTGAACCCAGTACCTTCTTGCTATGAGGCAACAGTGCTAACCACTAAGCTTTCGTTCTGCCGTTTGAATTCACAGTAGATAATTTTGTATTTTGGTAAATAGCTTACATTACATTGGTTCAATGGCACAGTAGGAATATTTATGTAGAAAAAAACTAGTAATGAGTATATGTGTGTTAATCACCAAAGGAAGAACGTCGAGCAGGAAAATGATGAGGCTGGACATTTCTGCGACAGAGGGAGCAGGATCACTGCAGTTCTGCTCAGGAGGTGGATCAGTTTTTTCACTGCCATGAAAACAAAACATACATTCTCGTCAGTTTATTCACTATTAAGAGCAAACAAAGGGAGTTAGTAAACACATTGTGTCTAGCTTTAGCTTTCTTTGTAAAACTAAACAAAAAACCCACACTTTAAATAAAAATTGGCAGACGTGAATAAAAGGTGAAATGACATAAAAAAAAAATCTAATTAAATAAATACATATATGCTGGTAAGTGACATTTTCAAGAGAGAGGGCATGGGTAACAAAAGAGTAATACAGTACTAAAAAGAAAAAGAACAAGCAGTGTGCTGATGTCCCCCACGCTGAGGGATTTGAACAATAAGTGTTTGTAGTTTTTGCTCTGGGCTTTTTATCCGTTTTTCTGGACTGGAGTTGAAAAGGGAACACAAGCAGACCTTAGTGTTGTTGGTGCAAAATATTCAAGTGGGTAGGAGTTGCACTGTGTATAGAATTAGATGGAAGGGTTCAGGTTTTTTTGTTTTTTGTTGTTGTTTCTTGTCCAAGGCAGTGCAGAGCAACAGATCCTGGCAAGTGGAGCGAGCAATTTATCCACCACCAGGAGCAATGGAGGAGCCACAGGGTGGCCATTGGTGGCCTTGGTCACCATAGATTAATCTTCTGGCCACCCCAATCATTTGAGGAAATTGTGCTTTTTCATAATATAATGTAAATATATAAATATTATCATATTTTTACAATATAAAAACTAGAAAGCATTTTTCTACCTGGATTAACAAAGACAAAACAAATGGGAAAAGGTGTATCCTTTAAGCGAGTAGTCTGTAAGGCTGTAAAAACTGATCACTTCTCAACAAGGCTGTCAGTAAAAAAAAACCCAGTTGTTTCCTGAATATACAAACTAAAAATAAACTTGATTTGCCCGCCTTGAAAGGTGGGCAAATCCACTAGTGTCTATGTCTGTGCGTTCATTTGTCTATCAGCCAAATGTCCGACAAAACACAAGCCAAACTTCAATGAAACCCTCCAAAAGTATTCATAAACCACCATATGCTGTTAATTTTTGTTATAATTAATTTTCTTGTCACTGTATACTAGTTTTTTCCCCAAAATTCTGAGGCTTTAAGTTTTACTGCATAATTTTCGACATACCTGAGAGATGAGCAGAAGCATCGAGTCATGTATTCCCACAGGTATTCACTGTTCGTGGAGCTCACAAGCATGTTCATCGTCTTTATGATCTCCGAAGCGTTCTTATTTTCTTTTATCTTACTGTTAAAAGGAAAACAAAAGCCTCGTCAGTTTATTAAATTCTTCGTTGCAGGTGCAAGTAAGGACCTACAAAACCATTTGTTGTTCTCACCTAGAAAGCTGGTTGCCCGAGAGCCTTGAGCTGGGAGTATTTTCCTCCTTGAGCATCTCCAGACAGTAACGGTGAAACGCTCGGACCACCTCCAACAACACACAGCTCAAGACAGGCGGACCTGAGCAGAAACAATCTCATCAGTGAAACCAATTCAGAAAATCAGTTTTTTAACAAGTCTTTGTAGCACTGATCACAGGTTTTTACCTATCTCAGGTTTATCAAGCAGGCTAATAATGATGCGAAAGGGTTTGAGGTAACGGATCACACTTTCTGGATCACCATCTGCTTCCTTCTGTTTGAGGATGTTAACCAAAGCCTGAAGACAGAAACAGAAACAAATCAGAAGAAAAGAAACGGGAGACACACTCACCTGAACAAAATGTTCAAAGAGACAACGCTTGACTTCTCTTTAAGGCTGTTCAGTCATCCTTTAGTCACCTACTACTTTTTATTTGTCATTTATACACAAATCCAAAAAAATAAAATATGCATGAACAAATGGGGTAAAGAGTGACAAACATTTATTCATACACTGTTGAAATACCTGACATATAAGCTTAACTTGTGCTTTTATTTCTCTTTTTTCCAGAGATATTTACTGTTGCAGAATTTTCTAAACCACAGTAAACCGTACGTGTTTGGAAATGGGTTTTGGTTCCTCCAAGACAGAATTAATAAAAACGTTTCTCCTTGTTCCCCTATTTTAATGTTAAGTAAAATCATTATGGCTATAACTTTACAATACTTAGGCTTCTTATCTAAAATTTATTTTAACGAAACTGAACTGTAGTTAAAAAAAAAGCTACCTTCACAAGGAAATCTTTAGAGTAGGTGTTGAAGTAGAATGAGGTGTGCTCCTCGATGGTGGCAGAGAGGCTGGGGTGCGGCGCCACCATTCCTCCTTTAATGTCTGTACCTGGAACACATAAAAGGGAAGAAAAGTATAACAAAGAATAATGAAATACAGTGAGCAATTCATTACTAATGTTTAATGTAATCGTGAGCACCTAGTAACCAGGCGTAGAGACGTCTGTTGAGGGACATGTCTCTTCTGAGGAGCGTGAGTAAAGCTGCAGACACCATGGTGATCACGTCTTCGATACTCAAAGCAATACTAGGTTCAGCTGGATCCTACACAGATAACATACAGAGCAGGAGTTGGACAAAGAACAATGGTAAAGATGGGGTGATGAGTATTTTTGATGGAAAAATATGCACATTTGTTCAAAAAAGTACTTAATCCTATAGATTTATTGGTCTTTGTATATTGCATATTTGATACCGTGCCTTTTATTAGAAGTATATTTACAAACTTGTAAAAAATACATTTTAATTACATTTTTTAACATAAACAAATTAGTTAAAGTGAGAAGTTGGTATTGTATAACCCAATATTTATTACACCTTCAGATCAGTTTATTAATAATAGACCAAAATAAGGAGCCGATTTCTTGAAAGACATTATTCAGAGCTTTTAAAGTAGAGTTCAGTAGTAACGTTATGACCATGTAACATCTTAGTTTTTGTAGAATGGACTTAGATTAATTTTAATTTGAAGGAATAGTTTTATTTTGATTGGATAGATAAGCTAATGGCTAACATGAGCAGGGCCAAGCGCAAAGCAGTTAGCTGCCAACCTAAAACAACTCCAGAATTAAAAATTATATAGTCGTTCATGCAAACATGAGTAAGAGATTGTAAATCTCTCTGTAGATCTCTTGTAAAATAGATTAATAATCTCAACAGATTTATTTCCTGGTAAAATAAAGGTTTAAATAAATTTAAAAAACACAATTTTATAAACCTTTTATTATCGTTATATTTGCAGGAGGTGGCCCAGGCTGCACCATGTATGCTGCAGCTGCTGTCACTATTTGCTCTTATTAATAAGCATAAAATTCAGTGTAAACAGCAGTGTAATGCAAACCGGACATCAATACAAATTTTATAAAATAGGGTTCACATAAACTACTACAACATTTTAAAACTGTAGTCGTTTTAAAACAGAAACGATCAATTTTGGTCTTGTCACTTTAGTCTGAATTAAACTTTTTATTTGAACAGGTAAGCTATTGTTATTCAAAACCTTTCTACGGAAACCACTTGAGTTTTTTTTATTATTGCATTAACATCTTTGTGTAATGACAAGGGAAATCGCTCATATTTAAGCCTCTGATATGAAAGGTTTGGTGCTCTCTTTGCATTTGTGGTGTGTGGAGTCCATCATGTGGAGACTTTGGACACATTAAACTAAATATGTCAAGAAATAATAAAAGCAGTGCATCTTAGGATACCTACCAAACATGTGGCAAAGGGGAAAAAGTAAAGCAGGACTTCAAGCATGTTCCTCTGCACCAAGACATTTGAATCTTGTAGGGAAAGACAGACTGACTTCATCTGAAAACAAACAAAATAACTGTAAACTTCAAACATGACTATAACAAATGCCATTTTTATGGGTTTGCATGTGTGCAGGAAGACAAATGCAATTACTCACCACTCCACAGTGGCTGTAGCCTAACATGTGTGTCTGTTGACTCAACGGTGCCATACGGTCAAAATGTGTTACGATAAAAACAGAGGCGGGCAGCCGCACAATGGGAGTGACCAACATGCTGCCCCACAGGGCACCGTAGAAGACCTGCTGACCCACCAACAGAGACAACTTGACCAGCAGAGCATCAGTCCTGGACAGAGGCAGAGAGAAAAGTGAAGACCATCAGCAGACGGACACTAAAACACCTGTCCAACAAAAACAAAATCCTGTTCTTATACTTACTGAGGAGATATACAAGTCTGTATGAACTAAGCTATTTTAAATTGTTTAAAATTAGTTTAATCTCAATTTATGATTATTTTTTTCACTTCCTTCTATGTCTAAACCAACACTAAGTAAATCAATGCAAGTTGTACAATAAAAGATGACAGGGAATAGCTGATCTCAACACAAAATGGTAAATGAGCATGTTTAATTTATGTTACAGTAGGTTAATGCATGTCCAAATTAAAATTAAGGATTATAATGATTAAAATTTATTACCAGTTCACTTTAAAAGAAGCACAATCAAAATCATTTCTCTTTTGCAAGGTCTGAATACTGATTTTCTAATTCTAATTTTCTTTAAGATTCTTCTAAGATTATAATCTAGTCTAATTCAATTAAATTAAATTCAAAATACTTTATTAATCCCAACAGGAAATTAAATGTTGTAACTCATCATCCTGGTTTCATTAAGAGTTGTTATAGATGCTGATGTCTGAGGGCAGGAAGGATCTCCCGCACCATGGTTCCCAGCGCTCACGCGTTCGGGGCCACCAGGAGAGCTGTCAATCCCTCCACCTGAGCTCGGTTCAAGAACCGTAAATCAGAGGAGGTGGAGAAAAACGCGTACAGAAGCATTTTGGGCCATGGACTGTGGGCAAACGCATCCACCCCAGCGGTGGTTCATCTCGTGGGCTCAGAGAAACGCATAATTGACACTGAGCGTTTCTCATGTCACAAACAGGCCCACGGCTGCTATATCAATCTGAGACAAAATGCTCCGTCAGAGAATGATTAAAGGTTGTTCTGTCTCTGACAACTTTGAGACAAGAAGACAACACGGCTGCAGCATACAATAGTCGTGCTGGACACCAGATTTCTGTCCCTAGACTGCTGCAGAAAAGACAGCATGTCGTCCAGTGGACATGAAGTGGCCTCTACGCTTTTCTCTGTACAGCAGTGTTGAAAAAACTGACCACTTGATGTGGACAGCACTGTGGTGGTTGCAGCACGTGACTACTGAATCGTACGCACGACATCTTGAGAGAGATCCATCCTCTCAAAAAGATCCGCACAGTGGCCAGACCACAGGTGCTGGCCTATTCTGATTAATTCCTGATCGTTCCTCCCGCCTGGAGGAGAGCGTCCTCCCTCCACGGCAGGTTCCACGAGCGCCCTGATAACAAATGTCATAGGCCTGGGAACCATGATGCGTTCACGCACTTGGGACAGAGGAGCTGCCAGTCCCTCCTCCTGAGCTCGGTTCAGAAAACCGTGATATCAGAGGGAGAGAAGAAGGTGAAAAGGCATTACGACCACAGGCTGTGAGCAGGCACGTCCACCCAGCGGTGGATCGTCCCGTGGCTCCACGATAATTATAAATGACATTGAGCGTTCTCTTGTGTGAATCAAAAACCCTGATGATTCTGCAGCTCAAGGTCAGTGTTGAGTCACATTCACAGATCCCGTGCGACACTCCAAAAACATTTAAATGAGCTGCTGTGTGGAGAGCCACAGTGGCCCCACAGCTTGTTAAATGTGTGTGACGTAGGTCTGCTGACGGAAAACAGCTGATATCACTCAACCGGTTCACGTGAGTTGCACTGCTGCCACCTGTCTGTACAAGCTGCTCAGCAGCAGCAGGTGTCCAGATAAAGCAGAATTAAAGCGGCTCGGGCGTATAATGGAGTGTTGTTTCTCACAGCTCAGAAATTGACAATCTAGAATAAATCTCATCTTCCAGTTCATTGGGACCAGGAAGTGATGAGAGAGACCTTGCGTTTTCCTCTCCTTCTGAGACTCTAGAAATTACATTTAAAACAGAATTTCCTGAGCTTCTGCTAGAGGGGACGAGATCTGTTCATAAATGACAGAAAAAACGTCACAGAGTTCCTCCACACCAGGATTTGAGCTGAATTGCAGCGTGAATCCCGGATGAAAACGGTTCGCCCATCCGTCTGGAAGCGTGCATTCATTGCCACCCATTTATAAGCTATAAAGCGGGCACGCATTTATGCTGTGAAACTCACATACATGCTGATGTGAGCTGGAGCGTGCTGAGTGAGAGAGAAAAAACACGCGCGTCCCCGAGCATGCAAGACGTTGTGAGTTACTGATGCTGCGGGAAACAGCTCATGTGTTGTGTTCACGTTGTGTGCAGCTGCTCCGTGTAACGCTCGGGAAGCGGGTGCACATGAGCCGACATGCCCTGAAGGGTCATGTGTGTGCGTCCTCATTCATGCGACGCCTTAAGCTAGGATTGCCGCAGGGGCGCGCGTTGGCAGTGGTGCGGTCAGGAAGCAGCGCGCGGCATCGGTGGAGCGAGGTTACC